GATTAGATATCAGGAGGCGCTACTTCACGGTCAGGGCGGCTAGGATCTGGAGCCAACTTCCAAGTGAAGTGGTGCTGGCTCCTACCCTGGGGGTCTTTAAGACAAGGCTAGATGTACACCTTGCTGGGGTCATCTGACCCCAGTACTCTTTCCTGCCATGGCAGGGGGTCGGAGTAGATGATCTACTCAGGTCCCTTCTGATCCTAGAAACTATGAAACTATAACAATAAGCCACAGCGCTGTAGCTTATTGTTATGGCAATGTTACGCTTAGTGCCTGCTGATGCTACATTGCCATAGCAATGAGCTATGTCACTGTGTAATGGATGTTATCTGCACTTTTATGTTTGTCACTACAGTGATATAGTGTCCTTTATAGACACGCCCAGTGAGAGTAAGAGTAAAAAGTAAGCATGTGCACATGGGTAGCTATTCTATCTTAGCTGATGCACTGTAAATTCATACCCTAGCTTACCTTGAAATAACTTGTTCATATGTCTATCGATAAGATCCTCACAGAGGGAGTATCTTTAATGGTTTTGTGGGACAGTTCAGGAGTGCCAAACCAAGACCTATATAGTTTAAAAACTGGTAGTGAGGATATGTGGCCTTAAGGGGGAGATCATCATGTGTTCAAAAGGAGTTTAGAAGACACCTATGTGGAATCTGGGAGAAAAGGTATTATATAATTGTCATGAGACTCATATTGTTTGTGTAGATACATGTATTCATCCATACATCTCAAAAACACAGTCATTTCCTTAGCATCATAAATTTAAGAGAATTTGAGAGAACACAATCTTACACCATGGAAAACTGAACATGCTTAGGTTTGCAGGTATTTATTTTATGGTGACTCTCTTTTAGATCAAGCATAATTCAAGTTAGTTTTAAGAGAAAGCTTTTAGAAGTATGCATCTCTCCCAGTTATTGCCTGAAAAATCTGTAGATGTCATTTTATGGCTGCAACTGAATTGTGAGTACATATCTTAGTGGCATCTTTACCTACCTGAATACTAGTGCAACTAAATGATGAGTACCTGCAATTCACCCAATAGATGCAAAATACAGGTCACAGATTTTATGGATAAATATGGCATCCACAAACTAGGAAGGCCTGATCATGGCTTAACTTGAACAAACCTCATTAATTCACAGAATTGTTTTTCAGAAAAATTACAGGAAGAGAGACATGGTATTTATCATGTTCCAAGAATATTTCTGTTAACACATTATGTAGAAGAGAGCAGATTACCTTCACAGTTGATTCTGTCACTGCTTAACTCAAATCCTGGATTACACTGACAGATGAAAGAACCAAGTATATTGTAACATTGTTGCGCACATGGGTTATTGGCATCACATTCGTTTATGTCTGAAAGGAGACATTACATATCTTTATCCATATTGAGCTCTTTGAATCCGGTAATTAAACTGATTAAGTGGATTAGTTGTAGTTTGGGTGCTTTGTTCTGCAGCCCAGTAAACTATCTCAGTAGACTCTGCAGCTGCTGGAACGATGTCAGATCTGTGCTTTTCATTCCTTGCAGAAAAACTGGAATATTTTTCCAGGAATGAGAGTTATTCTAATGTGTAATGAACTCTTCCAAAATGTTTAGTGCAGCTATTAAACTTCACATTCCAGCATCTTTTTTCAGGTATGAAATGCCAAGTCTATAAATAATTGATATAAGGAACACATACTGATAAGACCTCTCAGCAGGCAGTGGTTAAGATTTATCTGAGCTATTTATTACTTCTAAAATCTGTTCTTTTAAATTCCATTACAATTATAACATGCGCCTTTGAGACAAGTAGAGAGTTTTGCAATGCTCCAAGGCATAGACCATATTGAGGGAAGGCATTTTGCTATGTTAGATTCTTTCCATGATATGCCCATCTTAAGAACATATGTGAGGACACTGCAGTTTGAAAAGAGAAGGAAGGCATTTTCAATGGAAAGTTTGTGAACATGAAATTTCAGTATCTTTATCTGGAGTCTTTAATACTTATTTTTCATATACTGTTGACTTTAACTGCATACAGAGGAACAGTGAAAGAGAAAAGGCTTCCCATTCACTTTTTGATGCATTTTGTAAGAAACCATCATTACTGTAATTCTAATTTTTCTCTATTTTTTCTGTGGAATTTTCAAATGCTTGCGAATTATGTCAGCAATAGCTATCTGCAGATACTAATACAACTGACAAAACTCTTCACTATATTCAAAGAATCTGTTAGAATCAGCTAAAGTTAAAGTCGGGAGTAAAATATTTGGCATCTATGATTTGTGAAAGCTTCTATTTAAAAATGAATAGAATGCTTATATATTGCTTCTTTAGTTAGCTTTTAGCAAAAATGTAGTGAAGTTTATATGAAAACAATATTATTAGAAGCCCTAAGTGACAAGGTGGAAAATTCAATTTGTGAATATTCTTCTCTAGAGAAATTGTTCCACACGTATGTATCCAGTAAAGATGTGATGTATAACAGTTACAGTTGTAACATCTGACATATATTTGTGAAGTTACCTCTTGAGATAGGACAGCTTATACTTCCAGGCTGGTAAAGGTCAATGGATGGAGATGCCTGTAATACATCTGATACTCTTCTGGAGTTATAACAACAATGACCTCTAAAGAAATGTTCTTTAGAAACCAGGGACTGTGCCTCTTCCATCCCCAGTCCTCATCACAGTTCTAAAAGCATTCGATTTCCCTCTCTAGTAGGGGAGGAGAGAGAGAGAGCCCATGGTTTCTAAAGAACATTTCTTCAGAGATTATTGTTGTTACAGCTCCAGAAGAATGCTTAGTGTAATACAGGTGCTCAAAATCAAGGAATATTTTTCTTACGTATTTAAATAATCATTAGTTTAGCTATATTCAGTGACAACAGATTCCTCCCAAACTCTCAGAATCTGAACCCATACAATAACAGATGATATGGAAACATATGTCCCTTCTTCATAGCTTCTTTGGTAAATGGAGTAGATTTTCCCATGTATAGAAATAAATATATTCTTGACCCCTGAAAAATCATCCTGCTTATATGTTTAATTTTTAGAAATAACTTTCCTTTACTAAGTATTTACTATGGAAACAGTCATCTGGAAGTAGCTTGCACCTTGTTAAGCAAACCTCTTTGCAGCCCAATGTCCTCCTTTAGTTATTAGAAGACTTTGAGTCAATAATAATAATCTTGTTGATTTTGTCAAACTCTGTTGCAATCAACTATCAGAACTCCCTCAGAAATTTACTTACAAAAGTCTGAATATGATTCCCTAACTCCTTGAGTTTTAGGTTTCAAATTACTTCTCAAAGGTTCGTATCTGAGATGGAAAGACCTGTATTCTGTTATCAGTACATTAATCATGTGCTACAGAGAATAAATACATAGAATCACTTCTTCTAGTTTCCAGATATAGGGCCTGATTATTACTTGGACTGGTGTAAATCAGGAGTAACTCCATCAAAGCCAGTGAAGCATTAATATAAAACCAACACTGTTGAAAGGAAAATTTGGCTTAAGATTAAATAATGAATTTCACTGCCTGATGTTCAAAGAACCAAACTTATGGCATACAGAAGCCAGCTTGCCAATACAATAATCCATTTTCAAAGCAAATTTCCATGTTTGTGTCCAAGAAATTTATGTTCCCCAAGATTTACTTGGGCCAGTTCCAGAAAAGCTTCTAAGTCTAGAAAGAGGTATGACAGATTTTCAAATATTCTATTTAGTAACTTATGATGATGAAAGATAGTTTAAAAACACAACAGTATGCCAGTATTTGTTTTTCTAAACCAGACAGAATCATATATAAAGATACCCAGGAAAGTGCTTACCTACACAAGTGTGGTTGTTTGATGCTAATTGAAATCCTGGATTGCACTGGCAATAATAGGACCCAGGAGTGTTCACACATCTATGGTGACAATATGGAGGGAGGGTGCATTCATCGATGTCTGAATTACCACAAGAGCAAAACAGTAAAAAATGTTAGCACAGATTAATCACAACAGTTTATTGCTGCCAGCTTCTGTCCAAATGAAATGCAAAGTTTATTAGATCTGAATAAGGAAGTAAAAAAGAAAGGAGCTAATATAAAGCTAGAGTATACTCTTGCTAAATTTAATGGGAGCAGCACTGTTCCCTTTCCATTCATGGAGTAATTTTTGTTCAAATCTTCCTATGGTCATTGTTCAGCCAATGTGGTGTCAATAGATATAAAGGCCTTCCTTTATTTGGTGGCTAAGGTATAGTATGGTATTGAAATCTATTAATTTTTGTTGACTATCACATGCCTTATTTTGGTTCTGAAACCCAGAGCAAGCTTCCTGATCACTTCTTAACCAGACCTAATGACAACCAGGATACTAAATGTGGTTCATATACTCCTTTTCTGTGCAAAAGCAGAGTAACAAATTAATGCTTAATCTCTTTTGGTCTCTTTAGAGAACCTAAATCCTTCTCTGTTCTATGTGCAAGAATGTATAAGGATGACAGGGGTATGTGATCTGTCTACATAGACAACAGAGATTAGGCATGAAAAAGAAGTGGGGTGCTAGAGTTCTATGGAGACGTGGGCTCCATAACCCCACAGCTATACCTCTTGGCTATTCCCCTCTCTTAAACTCTCTTACATTCTTCCTGAAGTAAGTACCACTAAGCTACCAGCTGCAAGCCGGTAGCTGTTTTCTTCAACTGTGTGAAGGAAAATCAGATTGCATGACTGAAGTCAGTGCTATCTCAGGCAGTATTACCTCGCTCATGCAGGTTAACCATAGTTTAAGGAATGCTGCCTTTCCGAGTTCCAGCATTCCTCAGGTACAGTGGAGCGTGCAAACTACATAAAGTGCACAACAGCTCTGTCTTAATCTTTTTGCACTTTAGATGGTGTGCATGGAGCTGCTGGAGTTCCTGCCTCACCTCATGTGGATCTGCAAAACACTTTCTCCTACTAGCTAAATTGGCCATGCATGCATGTGCACAATCTTCCTTAGGCTGCGCCCTTGAGCGTAGTCAGAAAAAACCACGCAGCATCTTGTGCATGAACAGAATGTCAGTTTTTTTCACAGCGGCTTGGCTTTCAGTCAAATAAACCCTGGTTTTCACTGAAATGAAGAAAGGAACTTCCCATTTCCATGCCAAATTTTGAATTTCCTACCTCCAGCTGTTTCCACTGTAGATGTGCTTTAGAAGGAAGCCAAGAGTTTTTATAATGGGAAAGCATTACTTTTTTCACTTAATATTAAATATTAGTTAACCCTCTTCACAGAAACTTGTATTTATATTCTGAGGCCAGATCCTAATCAGTGTTTAGGCAGTGAAAAGTGAAAAAATGGGCTTAGGTTGAAAACCCGTTTGCAGCCTTCACTATTGTGATGGTTTACATTACAACTGTTTTATAGCAGAGAGAATTCATGAAGTAGAAGAGGGAAGGACGAGAAGACCCAGCAGATCCTTTCCATCTCTGGTTTTTAGAGAACCTCATTGTAGCAGGACATGGTGGTGTGGTTGCTGTTTTGGGGGGAGAAGCTGCCTGAGAGGTAGCTTCCAGGTGGTGTGGGGGCTGATTGGGGTTTACCTGACTGGCAGAGGGCCAGGCTGGGACTAGATTAGCCCAGTGCCTGAGCCGGTCAGGGGGCCTAGCCCTGACAGCCTGAGGAGAGGAGCTCTCTGCAGCATGGCAGAAGGACTCCTGAAGGGCCCAAGAAGGCAGGGGAAGCAGAATGACTCTGCAGGCTTGGGAGCCAGAAAATATTCCCTGTGGGGCAGAGAAGAAATGGTTTATGCAAAAAAAGTGCCTTTGTTTTATGTTGGTATTATTGCTGGAGTTACAAGCCTTTAGCCCTGCTGGAGAGAGGCCCAGGACTTACAGAGAATTCTCCAGCCCAGAGAAGGGGCTGAGCGGGGATACAGAGGGTTCCCCAGCCCACGGAGAGGGGGCTGAGTGGGGTATAGAGGGCAAGGGGATAGAGCCTACAGCCCAGAGAAGGGGCTGAGTGAGGCATAGAGGGCTCCCCAGCCCAGAGGAGGGGCTGAACAAGGGAACAGAGCCCACCAGCCCAGAGAAGGGGCTAAGCAGTGTACAAAGGGCTTCCCAGCTCAGAGAAGGGACTGAGCCAGGAAACCGAACAGAGGACCTGCCAGCCAGGGAGAGTCGAAGCGAGGGATTAGAAGGTGTACAGTCTCCAAGAGGGACTGCGTGAGGGGTCTGAGGACCCAGAGAAACAAGGTGGAGAGACCCAGAGGGTCTGAGAGTCCTGAGAGGGGCTAAGAAAAGCTAACATCTGAAATGATAACACCCGTGAGGCTTGGGGGGTGATGTAGCACAGGAATGCAGCCGCACAATTTGGCCATAAGACTATAGATGTCCTGCAGGGGCACTGCCAGGATGAGAGAGCCTATTTAGCATTGAAAGTAGTAGGGCCTGGGAGGGACTCATTGAGGAGTTGATTGGATTCAGGCTCTATGTCTAAAGCCCATGGGTAGCCTCCCTTACTTAACCTCAATAACAGTAAGGCATGGTGGGTGAGCAATTAAGGGAGGGCAACATTAGAGAGGGAGCTGGGCAGGAGCCACAGCAGTAGCTGTACCAGGGGGCCTCAAGGCCACCCGTGGGGCATGAATCTGCTACACTCATTCTCACAAACATGCAATGGCTATTTAAAGCCCTGATGATACAAATTTAGGCATGGGATTAGTATCACTGAATCTTTGAGTTCTGTGGAGCTACTCGTATGTCTGAATGTTTGCAAGACAGGATTCTAATTCATGGGGATTTTGTTTGTTGGAATAGGGTACATCTTTTGTGTGTACATGTGATTCTGTAACAGGCTATAAGATGCTTTAGGTTAGTAAGATCTGATCAATACAGCCAAATGTGTGTTTGAAGCAATGTTGCTGAAAGTGTTACCTTGCATTTGCAGCCCCCATTTTTCAGAAAATAACATCTTTGCTATATCTGAACACGACTTTAAAAAAAAAACAAATTAAAGTATAAAAAGATCACTCAGGTTTCTAGATTAAATTAAAAGTAAAAAAGAAAGAATTAGAACTAGGTTTCCACCTCTGCCCCCATTTCTAGCCCCCCCCTTCCTAACCAGCCTTCAAGCCAAAAAAAATCTGGAGCAATTTCACTCCAACTTCAGAGGAACATTTCCTCCCTGTTGAGAGTCTATAGCAAGATTTAGTCCCAAAGGAATATTTTTGGCTGAGGTATTACAAAGCCTCAAAAGATGGGTTTCATTTTGAAGTGCTGACACTACAGACTGTAGCATTATTTTTATGATATATTCTATTTTGACCTACATTAGTGATATATCCTTCTTCACTTCATCAGCCCGTCTTGGTTTAGACAGATGTAGGAGAAATTTCTCCTTCTAAAGATGTTAATTATACATAAATCACGAAAAAACTAAGTTGTGCCATACGGATTTCTTACTGTCAGGGTTGCAATATGTTTCCTATTAAACCTCTAAGTAGTACTCTAGCTCAGCTGATATTAAAAGGAGTAACTAACTGCACAATGGAATACATTATGCCTACTCTTACATTCTAGTGAAAATGTAACATTTTTACATGTATCAACAACCTGTCAAAAGTATTCCCCTACCTACATTCCCAACTACTCATCCTACTCCTCCACATAAGACTAACAAGTATTGGAAGGAGCTCTGTTTACAGAAATCTGTTTGTCAAGCACCCGATCCAAAGCCCACTGAAGTGATTAAGAGCCTTTCCATTGATTTCCATGGGCTCTGGTTCAGACCCTGAAAGAAAAGGTGTACAGCCTTCTTTTTTTACCAAGCATTTAAATAGTAATAAAACCAAACAGATACTGATATTACCCATTCTTCCCTCCCAGTAATCCCTCTAAGGGGACTGCTTGAATATTAGCAAGCCTTCTAAACACAGATTAGGGAATTTGCAAAACTTTCAACTGCAAAACTGCTGATCTGTGAAACACTGGAGAACACCTTTTTTGTCTTGTCTCTGTTATTTTGAGGGCTTGAAAATGCTTTTCCCTCACCTTGTCTGATACAAATGTTGCATCTTGTAGAGGTTGTATTGGGTTCATCATGTTTGATTTGATTGCACACTTGTTCTCATACATGTGATAAATGCAGAGCCTAAGACTGATCCCTTATGAAAGGGCAACTTCCACGGAAGTCAAGATTTAAGAGGTGCTCAGTAAGAACTGCAGGTTCAGAAAGATGGCATCTTTGCATATCTTTTCAGGCCACTATCTTTCAGAATATTCCTGAAGGAGATTGGAGTGTGTAAGATATAACTGAACAATGTGGTTTACTATATCACTATATTGGCAGAAGTGCTGCAGTCTGATTGCACAAATACTGTTCTTTTATGTATTTGGGCTTATAATGATCCCAGTGGTGTCAGTAGATCATTCTCCAGCCCCTACTCCTGGCACTAAGAGCTAAAGACAGTGGTTAATGTGTGATAAATTTGATACCTCTGGGCCCAGAGCTTCCACTGGTTTGTTTTATGCAAATAAATAAGTGCGACTGAATTCTGTTGTGAAAGTAAGCTCTTCAGACTGGGTCTTTCTATGTGTTTCTACAGTGTGCCTAGGCCTGGAATGCTGGATTCCACTGAAGTCAATGGAAGGACTCTCATCCACTTACAAGGGGCTCGTGACTGTATCTGGGGCCACTGGGTACTACCCAGTACAAGTAAGGCAGAACATAAATAGCTAAGTAATTTTTTGTTGGAAGCTCAATTCAAAGTTCAGAATACAGTATGCTTAAAATAATTGCTAGCTCTATCCACTAGAAATTATTTACTTGTTCTCCCACAATCTATCAAAACTACGTGGCAAGGTATTTATGAAGTCTGAAAATTAACCTAGATAGCCAAAGAACATGGTTTATGCTAGTACACTTACCAATGCATTGTTCTCCTCGTTTCTGGAAACCAGGGAGACACTGGCATCTGAAGGACCCTCTTAAATTGACACATGCTTGATCTGCCCTGCAATTATGGGCTCCTGTTGCACATTCATCTATGTCTTTATAAAACAGCAAACAGAAAATTAGTTATAAACTTTGACTCAGGTGCTCACAGTTGAAGATCTGTATTCATCACATCCATCCCAAAGGTGTTTTTTTTTTTCTTTCCATAGCTTATTCCATTTACAAAACACAAGCACATTTTTGGGGACAAAAACACAAAGCTTTCTAGTAGTCCTTAACTCTCACCTATACCTGGAAATATTTCTAATATATATAATTTTTCCAAAACCATATATTTTAGGCAGGGTTAGTAGCACTGCTTATTATTAAGGTTGCCTTATAGAATCAAAGAAAGTTAGGGTTGGATGGTACCTCAGGAGGTCATGTAGTCCACCTCCTGCTCAAAGCAGGACCACTCCCAACTAGATCATCAACTAGATCATTCCTGCCAAAGCTTTGTTTTCCCAGGTTTTGAAAACCTTCAAGGATGGAGCTTCCACCACCTCTTTGGGTAATCTGTTTCAGTATTTTACTACCCTTCAAGTGAGAAAATTCTTCCTAACATCTAACCTAAACTTCTCTTGCTGCAACTTGAGACCGTTGTTCCTTGGTCTGTCATCTGCCACCACCGAGAACAGTCTAGTTCCATCCTCTTTCAAACCTCTCTTCATGCAGTTGAAGCCTGCATGTAGTTGAAGGCTCAGGCTTTTCTTCTCTAGGCTAAATAAGCCCAGTTCCCTCAGTCTTTCCTTATAAGTCATGTCCCCCAGCCACCTCACCATTGTTTTTGGCCTCCACTGAACTCCCTCCAATATCTCCACATCCTTTCTGCAGTGGGGGGCCCAAAACTGAACAGAATACTCCAGATGTGGCCTCACCAGTGCTGAATGGAGGGAAATAATCACTTCCCTTGACCTACTGGCAACACCCCTACCAATGCAGTCTAGTATACTGTTAGCCTTCTTGGCAACAAGGGCAGACTGCTGGCTCATATTCAGCTTACTGTCCACTGTAACCCCCAGGTCCTTTTATGCAGAGCCATTGCCCAGGCAGTCAGCCCCCAGCCTGTACTGATGCATGGGATTGCTCCGTCCTAAGTGCAGGACTTTACACTTGTCCTTTTTGAACCTCATGAGAATTCTTTTGCCCAATCCTCCAATTTGTCTAAGTCACTCTGAATAGTGTAGGATTGCACAGGTAACTACAATTCAGAAATTTCCTAACCACTGTCTGTTTGCAACTTTATTTTAAAAACTACATTAAAGGAATATTATAAAAATCAGTGACACATTTTAATGCACTTTTCCAACTAGACTGAATGGATATGTACATGTCTGCATGTGAGTGTGTGTAGGTATATATATATATACATATATATAGATAGATAGATAGATATCTATATCTATATAAAAGTGACAATGATTGGTATTTAATGATAACACTTGAAAATTGTTTCTGCTACAAAAACAAATTACAATTTGTTTTATCATTTAAAAATCCAGCTTGTTTTTTGCTGTAACCTGACACATCACAATGAAAGGTTTTTGTAATTTTGACATTTTGGAGAATGTAGGCTGAACAAACAAATTCCTTAAGATGTATGATCTCTAGTTTACAAATTTCAGCTGAACTCTCTATTTGTACAGGCATTAGGGATCTTCGAAATTCACCAGTGGCACATTCTGGGTGGTGTTTTGGAAAAAAATATACATTCTTTCACATAAAAATAAAAACAATTTTGATCATGCAATGCAATAAAAAATAAACCTTCAACAGTTTAAATTAATTCAGAGTGTTTGCCTTTTCCCAAATGTCCAAATATTTTAGACATACTTCTTTTATTTGACAGCTCAGATTCTAGTGCTGTCCTGTCCTCTGCATGTCTGAAAGGTTCAGTTCTGCAGCTGCCATACTTATACAGAACTAGCTGGCTTCACTCTTCTGCACTGTCAGAAGAAAAGTTCATTCTCAGTTGTAGAGCAAGATTTAAAAGACCTATAATAAGCTAATATAGAACAGACATATAATTAAGGACTTGATCTAATACACAGTGGGTGCATCTACTAGTATACTTTACTGTGGAGTAGACAAATTAGCTCAACAGTAGGGTATCTTCATCTACAAGTGGGCTGGATTAGGGCACAGTAAACTAATTAACTCCACTGAAAATCATGTGTAAATGCTGACCACAGGACTAAATTGTGGCCGGTCAGCCCAGCCAGCTGGGGGTCTGCTTTGCCCTGACTCAAATTGCTGCTGTCCTGGGCATGTGTGTAGATGCTGTGCCTGTGAGTAGTTTACTCCAGCTCAAACAGCTCTGGAGTTTATTGCTTTGCATTAATTGCACATGTAGATGCACCCAGTGAAATCTATTGCAGTTTTTCCAATGACTGTAGTGTGCTTGGTATGAACTCCTACTTCCTACAAAATAGGGAAGAAAGATGCTTACAATGTTCATATTGTTTCATCTCCTGGATTGTGTTCTTGGAACAAAGCATATTTAGCCTCTGAGTGCTTGTCAACATGGACACATTTAGAAAGTTAATCTGATTATTTTTAAATGGATTATTAAACTGAATTGAACCCTTTTGTGGATATTCATATTGAAAATTAAAGTAGCTTTAATTCAGTTGAACTTATTTCACTTTGGAAAAGTGAACTACTACTTTCAAAAGAAGTAAGCTAAAGTCAGCAGGGCCACTTCCATTCTGAATAAAAGAGTATCTATACAGGAGCTCAGTGATCCACTTCAAAGTCACACCATCAGTTAATCTGGGTCAATTTTCCTGAATATTTCTGTGTAGGCAACACCTCACTGGGACTAAATGGTTAAGGGTCTCACTGCTTCAGAGCAAGCAATATTCTAAGTAGCAGGCCTCTCCAGGGCAATAAAACTTCCACCTACTAGGCACTCCAAAGGCATATGACAATACAAAAGAGGAAATAAATGTTTATTTAATTTGTTCTTTGTGAACTGCTTGGTCTTTGATGAAAACTTCGGTACAACTGACTTTTATTAAGGACTTTTAAACTTTAACTCATCACATAATGTACTACTGCTTCCTTCTCAGAGATACATTTTTTTAATTGTTAGGCTATTTTAACATCATTAAAATAAGTTTTTTCATTCACTGTTGCTTTATTGGATTGTTAGATACAGTTTAGTCTCAGAAGTGGGGACTATATCTCAAATGGCTTCTTATTCTCTGCTAGAAACTTGGTAAGTGCATTTTTCCTAAGCTCTTACTACAGTCTGCCAGATGATAACTCTTGGAGACAGTGCCTTGCTTCATCTGGGAATAACAATTTTGCCTTTGCACGTGATACAAGTATCCTTGTACCTCCAAAAATGCTAACCTAACCCTATCATTTGGTTGGGGATGTCACTACATCACAGATAAGCTTTACTTCTATACAGTTCGTTTCTATACAGATCTAATGTATGCTTAGGTCTTTTTGTTTCCAGATTACTTCACTTGCGCTGTTCCTCCCCCCTC